GATAGATAAGGCAACCCCATTAAGCTTAGGGAGGAGACTTGGCCCTAAAAGAAGCAGAGGTAGGACCATCGGTGTTAGTAAGCAGACCTCTCGTGAAAACAGGGAACTGCACAAATCAGCAGCCCTGCTCTCAGACCTGGGAGTCCCCAGATAAGGTAGCCGGGATGCGGAGCCCCCGACTTCTCTTCTAGCTACTCAGGGAGGTGAGTGCTTCGGCCTGAGGCATGTAGATTCGGGTCAGTGGAGGGAGGAATCCCAAACCCTACCCGGACTGGACGCCAGAGTCCTGAATGAGGACTGAGGGAGCCACCAACTCCAGAACAGTGGGGTCGGAGAGTCCCACCCTTGCTGTTACCAGGCGTAGCCGAGCCCCAGATCAGCTTTGGCAGAATGAGGCTCACTCTGACTGTAAGCTCAGGTCCCAGGAAGATGAGGACCTTTTCTGACGGTCATGGGCTCACGTCAGCAGAGGGCAAAGTCCCAGGCAGGGTGCAGAGTCAAGGTGAAGATCCTGAGTGAGGAAATGGAGACTGCTCCATACACAGTGGAGAGAGCTGCATGTCATGCCGCCCCTGCCGTTAGCCCCGGGAGGCCCAGGGCAGAGCTGGCAGGCTCAGGTGCCCCCTAACTTCTGCCTGTGGGGTCTGAGGGAGATGAGGGCCTTGGTTTAAGGGCTGGCTGCCCGGTTCAGCAGAAGAAGAGGAGTCCCAGGCCATGATCCATGTCAAGGCACAAATTCTATGTGAGGAATGAGACAGCCGACTCCCCCAGAACAGAGGAGACCCCACAAAGTGCCACCTCTGCCTTCGCCCTGGGAAGCCATGTTTAGCGCTCTCAGGCTGAATTGCCCTCTCAGTTCCTCCAAGGGTGGTCTCAGGGACGTCAGGGTTTGGGTCTAATGGGAGAGGCCTCATTCAACATAGGGAAGAAGCCTGGTTCCTAACGAGAGTCAAGGTGGTGACACCGAGTGAACATGAGGGAGCCCCACCCCGAAAGAAGTGAACCACATAGATTCTCATCCCTACTCTCAGACCTGGGAGGGAGACTCAGGCATGGTGACCTGATGAATATCACTCACGTTTTCCCGGACCATGGCAGGGAGGTGAGGAACCTCCTTGATGGGAGTATGGGCTCAGGTGAGCAGCCGGAGGATTTCCAGGTAGTGCCAGGAACCAAGGAGAGGACCCTGAGAATTGAGGGGACCACCTACACCACCATAGTGAGGGCCACAGAATCTCTTTCTGCCTGTCAGCATTGCAAGTCCACACACAGTTGTAGCCAGAGAGACAAGAACATTTTCTTTCTAGCCGGTCTCGGGGAGTTGGGGGCCTTAGTATGAGGGGATAGACGTCAAGTCAAGACACAGAGGATGTCCAAGTCCTGCTGTGCGTCAGGGTGAGGACACTGAGGGATGATGTAGAGGCACACCCACCCAAAGCAGTGGGGGCCCACAAACTCCCACCCCCC